TGACCTGACTTTTGAAATTTTACCTCTGCCCTGTGTTAAAAAGAAACAGGTGTTAAACATGATACACATTTCTCACCAACAGTGAGCTGACATGAGTTACATTTAAGTGCAAGACAACCCACAGGGGGGAAGGGAGTTTGTTGCTACTCTTGCAACATTGCACAGCTCCTGATGACGCACTGAGAAGTGTGAAAGTACTTAAGCTCAAGATTTCCACCCCCCCATCCCGTGGCTTGTCTTGCATTAAGATCGTCTGTCTGTGATCTTAATGCAAGACAACCGTGTCTTCCATTGTCCAGACCTTGTCTGTGACAGTGTCATTAGCAGCCTTGTGGACCTGTGCTCTTACACTACACCTCGCTTGCATTATTGACGTTTTGCTCATTGCGAGTTTGTTGAGAGACGTTTCCTTTGTGGTTGAGGGATGGAAGAGGGAGATGAATAGATGTGGCAGGGAAATACCTGTCTGACTTGGGATCAAGATATTCCCTACCACCCTGAGGTAGTGTTCCCTGGGACCCCTGAGGTAGTGTTCCCTGGGACCCCTGAGGTAGTGTTCCCTGGGACCCCTGAGGTAGTGTTCCCTGGGACCCCTGAGGTAGTGTTCCCTGGGACCCCTGAGGTAGTGTTCCCTGGGACCCCTGAGGTAGTGTTCCCTGGGACCCCTGAGGAAGTGTTCCCTGGGACCCCTGAGGGTATCTTCCCTGGCCTGACGCCAGCACAAAACTGGCGTCAACTCTATCACACTCCAACACCCCTCCACTCTACCCTCCACCACCTTGTACAGACAAGTGGTCACAATATAGAGGGCAGCAGTAGTTAGGTAGAGTAGTGGGTGAGAGTACAACCTGCTTAGCACGGGCTCCTATCATCATAAGTACAATAGAGTTCATAAGAGTACACGAGGTATATGGAGAGTAGACTAAGTATTAATCTACTAGTATCTTAGAATAAGAACTACATGTCAAACAACTACAGAGAACGTGCTAGAATAGTCACCTGGAGACATTTTGCAAGTGGAACTTTAATTTGAGAAAAGTACGTGCTGTTCTTGGGCCAGTAAGCTCTGGATAAATGTACCAGAGGAGGATGACAAAGTGGTCCATGTATCAGGAAACCTTCCCTATGAGGATAGACTGAGGGCCCTGAATCTGCACTCTAGAAAGACGATAGATTAGGGGGGATATGATTGGGTTTATAAATGGGGAAGACAGGAATAAAAATAAAAGGGATGTAAATAACGTGCGAAAATATCTTAGTCCTAGACAGGACTCGCAGGCAATGGTTTTAAGTTGGAAAAATTCAGATCAGGAAGGATATAGGAAAAGTACTGGTTTGGTATTAGTTGTGGATGAGTGAAACAAACTCCCAAAGTACAGTGTATAGTGGCCAGAACGGTTGTGTTGCCTTTAAAATTAGGTTGGATAAAATATATGAGTGGGTGGAGTAGTTGGGAACCTGATTAGCTTGTGCTACCAGGTCGGTTGCCGTGTTCCTTAAGTCAATGTGACTGACCTGGGACTAGGTTGGGTGCATTGGCCTTTAAGCCGGTAGGGAGACTTGGACCTGCCTCGCATGGGCCAGAGGCCTGCCTGCAGTGTTCCTGCGTTCTTGTGTTTCAGTTCTTATTTGTTCTTTTGACTACGTTTCGCTGAAGAAGCTTCCTGCCCCTAGTGGGCGAAAGTTGGTCTCGTCATTAAGTTACATAAAGTGTCTCTTGTACCAGTTATTAATACGTCAGACACACACACCCTCCCGAGAGCCAATCACTTGCCTGGTGCTGCAAAGATTCTGTGATCCTCCATGCAGGTTTGTTTGACGTATTCAGGCATCCAATCAGAAGGGCTGGTGTGTTGTGACGTCATCGTCTTCCCAGTATAGCGGACTGCCTTGACCTTCAGATGGCGGCCTTTCACTAATGTTGTTAAGGTAGGGTTGGTGAGTCTTACAGCAACTCCTTACACTGGATGATCCGTATTAGTTTAGTGCTTCTTTTAATTATTCTCTAATACACACACACACACACACACACACACACACACACACACACACACACTCACACTCACATCACACTCACACTCACACTCTCGACCCCTGCAACCACAAATTATGTGTGTACAAATAGGTGAGTCCTCACACACACACGATGTTCCAGAGATGGGAACAGCAACAAGGGAGGTCACAGTTGGAAAGTGGAAAGACTCGGATGAATCATTGGGATGCATTAGGAGTATTTTTCAGTTAGAGTTGCTGTGGAAGTGGAATTATTCCGGAGTGATTGTGAGTGGACGGCAGGGATCTACACAGCTTAGAGAAAAGCATGATAAAGCTCAGGAAGTGGCGGAAGAATGGACCTAGTAGTTCCCCACGAAGAGGTGGGTCGAGGAGCTGTGACTCGACCCTTGCAACACCACAACTACACACACACACACACACAACTTACACCCACACACACACACGACACTAAACTATAGACCTGTGTCTTGACGTGTATAGGATGCAATATTATGGAGAAGGTTTATCAGAGGAGAGTTGTGGTGGAGAACCTGGAACGGAACTGGAGTTATAAATGCCCAAACCAGCAACAGCACGGATTCACGGAAGGCAAATCCTGTGTTCACAAAACCTTCTGGAGTTTTATGATAAAATAACCAGAAGTAAGCAAGAGAGAGAGGGGTGGGTTGATTGCATCTTCTTGTGACTGCAGAGGCTTTTGGAACACAGTTCCTCACAAGAGATTAGTGCAGAAAGCTAGAGCTCAGGGCATATAACAGAAGAGGCACTGGCAATGGATCTGTGAATACCTGACAGGGAGGCAACAACGAGTCATGGTACGTAATGGATGTATCACAGTGGGCACCTGTGACGAGCGGTGGGTCCCACAGGGGTCCGGTTCTAGGGACCAAGTGCTATTTTTGCGTATATGGTGAACGACAGACGGAAGGGTTAGAGCAGAAGTGTCCCTGTTGCAGATGAGTGAAGTTAATGAGGAGAATAAATCTGATGAGGACCAGGCAGGACTTCAAAAGAGACCGTGGACAGACTGACATCTGGGTCCAGCAAATGCGCTTCTCGAATTTAATCTGCAAATGCAAAGTCATGAAAGATAGGGGTAGGCACAGAATACCACAGACAGAGTATAGGCTAGGTGGCCCAGACTGCAAACCTCATCAAGATAGAAAGATCTTGGGGTTGAGTATAACACGAGCATGTCTCCGGAAGCACACATCAATCAGTAACTGCTGCAGGCATATGGGGGGCATGGCAAACTGAGAACAGCATTTCCGACACCTTAGTTAAGGATCATTCATGACCACTGTACAACACGTGTTTGTCAGGCCCATACTGGAGTATGAAGCACCTGTTTGGAACCCGCACTTGATAAAGCACGTCAAGAAAACTAAGAGGTAAGTACAAAGGTTGCAACAAGGTTAGATTCCAGAGCTAAGGGGAATTTCCTATGAAGAAAGATTAAGGGAAATCGGCCTGACGACACTGGAGGCAGGAGGTTCAGGGGAGACTGATAACGACATATAAATACTGCGTGGAATAGACAAGTTTGGACAAGGAAGGTGTTCCATGGGGAGGGGACACAGAAACAAGATGCACAATTGGAAGTTGAAGACACAAATGAGTTCAGAGGATAGTAGGAAGTATTTCTTCAGTCATATGTGTTGTAAAGGCAGTGGAATAGCCTAGAAATGACGTAGTGGAGGCAGGAACCATACACAGTTTTAAGACGAGGTTTGATAAAGTCATGGAGCGGGGAGAGAGGTCCAGTAGCAACCGAGTGAAGAGGGCGGGGCCAGGAGCTATGGACTCGACCCCTGTCAGACCACAAATAGGTGAGAGTTTACACACGTACGTACGTACGTATGTACGTGTCATTAACAATGTTATCTACAACATATGTGAGGCCCATGTTGGAGTACGCAGCACCAGCATACAACCCTCGCATCATACAACATATTAATAGTAGTACCCTTGGCAAGGTGTTCTCAGTAGTAGTACCAGTTCCTAGTAACCAGTTTCCAGTAACCAGTGTACCAGTAGATGACTCGCTACCAACCGTCTGCGTGAATCACTGTTATTCATATTGCTGCTGACCATAGCAGGATTTCAAACACCCCTCACCCTGTAGGCACTTGTGAGTCAGTCGTAGTAGGCAGCAGAGAGAGGTAGGTCGGCTGTTGGTGCTTCCCATACTTCCCGTTATATATTATACGTACTACCAGCCTACGTGAGTATTTTTACCCCATCCACGTTAAAGAAACCCACATGACTGTGACTTATCGGCAAGTCTGCTGCCCCTCGTACTCACCTTAACAGTAACTAGTCACCTGGTATTAAGTAATGGGCGTTTGAATCTTATCGAACTGAATGATGGTCATTAAGGCTGCATATAATTGTTCATATGACTCAAGAATACTCTTCTTATATACATTGAGAAAAATACACCTCTGTATATACACAGTATATATACACCTCTCAGTGTGTACATCTGTATGGACTGTTGGAGGCGGTATCTTGGAGGAACAAACCAGTGGAACAAACCAGGTTACTGGCTGGGTATTCATAGATTAATAAGCCAGTTGGGTTACCATTGGCCAGGCTGTGATGGCTATGTAGGTTACTAGCAACAACAGCCTGCTGGAGCCATCAACTAGGATGTTGATGAATAAGACACATGTAGCAGAGTAGGTATACTACTGTAGATAATCTGATTATGACCCACGTCTCACTCGAAGGTATATCTTCTTCACTTTAATAAACAGGTAGTGGCTGTTGCGGCTGTTATCTAAATAAGACGTGAACAGCACCTTGGGTGTGTTATTGTAACTTTCATCCGCGCCAGCAGGCTGCTCAGGACTGTCGCAAACTTTAACCAACCTTCCTTCTGTTCCTGTAGACCAGCAACAGGCTTATTCTTCAAACTGTCACTACATTGTAACGGCTTGACAAAGCTCCTGGAGAGCGAAACGTTGCCACAATAAAAATGTCACATTAGTTGCACTTGTGTCCTTTTACATGTCACTACATTAACCAACTTTCCTTCTCTGCCTGTAGATCAGCAACAGGACTTGGACATACCCAGCCTGCGAGTGGACGATGGCGAACGGCCCAAGAAGAAAGAGAGGACGGTGTCAGGGAGTGGGTTGATGAGTGGGCACATGCCCCTCTCCATGATGGCTCCCATACCCACCACCACCTCAGCCATCACCACAACATCACACAAGGAGGTCTCCATGTCACACATCCAAGGGGTCAAGAAACCTTTACTGCACGCCAACTCCTTCACAGGAGAGAGGCTTCCAAAGTACGGTGTTGACACTCACCACGAAGAAGAACTGGGCAAGGTGATTTTATTATTATTATTATTATTATTATTATTATTATTATTATTATTATTATTGTCTTGGAGAACAGTAAGGTACAATGTTGAAACAATTATCAAATAAAATAAGTTTGGAGAGGAAATTTTAAGAGACTTTGCTTCCTCTTGGACCATTGCCAAGACCTTTCGATCGGTCTTGGACCACTATCAAGCTACAAACTTCAAGTTCATGGTTTAGTTACCAAATGTTCAAGCCACGGTGGTTTGAATGTGTGTATAACAGTCTTCCAGTACTAATGTTTAGTAGAATTGCCCACAATGTTAGATAAAAGGACACAAATGCAACTAATGCGATATTTTATTTGTGGCAACGTTTCAGATCTCAGGAGCGTTTGTCAAGCATGCTTGAAAACGGCTCATGTAGAGTGCGAGAACGTTGCCACATTAGTTGCACATGTACTCCTTTTACCTAATGTCTACCTGCATGTAAAGCCTGTTGTAAATGTAGTTGATGTTTAGTTCATAATATTAAACATAAATTATATTCGTATATATAATTATGTTTATGATTGTGTATTTTTAAGTATTGAAAAAAATGGCATATTTTTGCCTTTTTAAAAATTTTTTTCATCTAAACTATGTTTTTTGGAGGCTGGTTGAGATATGTGAAGAGGTAAAAGTTGATACATATATATATAAATACACTTCCATACACACTGGTGACTCACCCTCCGATGTTTTGCCTCTCGCTGATAAACTCTGCTAGAATTTGGATTGTGATAGCAACTGCAAGGTTGTTGGCTGACAATGTGTATGTGATTATTAACATTAAAAACACCAACCTGGAGCTTGATTCAGATTTTTTTCCCCGGGCTCGGTTCCAGACCAGGGTGCTGATAGCTCAGGTTTCATGGCACCAAGTAGAATCTTGTCCAATCGGTGAAAATAATGAAGCAAAGCTGGACACATAGTGAACGTTTGTAGAGTTTAACGGAGTTACGTTATGCCTTGAAAAGCTCTGCTTGGAGCGAAAACATTGCCCCTTCGCAAGTTTCCACTTATCACGGGCGGTGCTGATGTTGGGTTGTGATGCAGTCGAAGCTGAATTTAAAAAAAAAAATTGTTGAGAGTTATTACAAACTATTTGTGGTAATTTGTAAGAATATTGCAGTTCAGTAGCATGGTTATGTTGTTGTGGCGCAAAAAGTCAGTGTAACTCCGTGTTTACCAAGGGGACAGTAAGAGAACACAGCTTCAGAACAACTGTTATTGTTTGTTAATAACTAACACATCTCTCTTTACTCACTCTTTTAGATTTTATATATTATATATATTATATATATACTATATGTATATATATATATAATGTATGGTAAGCCTCAAAATCTTTAAGTTGGGTATAGAATTGTATTGTGACAATTTCAACATTTTAGAAGGCAGTAGAAATCTGATCTATCACAAACCATTGACCTGAGGTTACTTGTTTCATCTTGGCTGGGGTCAGATGACCTGTAATTTTGGTTCAGCGTGACCTACTCATGGCTTCTTAATTTTCCTCTCCTTGAACCCTTTATCATCATCAATATAGTAGTAGTAAAATTATGAGGCGCACGAAAACTTGTAGTGGTTTAAGGGAAGTAATCAGGTTTGTTCGAGGAAAGGGGAGGAAATAGCTCTCGTTCTTGGATCAAGAGCCTAAGCCCCCTCCCCCTTGGTGGCCCACACATAGTGCATCACCTCGTTAAGAACACACTGGTGCACTTCATGTTATGTTGAAAATGGTTGTAAAATACACGACAAGTGATAATTAAGACTCGCTGTGCAACAGTTGGGTTATCTTTATCTGTATTTCACCTACCACAGTAGGCTTCTTCAGTCAAATACAGAGGCAGCAGTGTAGTGAAATGATGCAGTCAGTCTAATCAACCTTGCACGAGACGAGGTGGTCAGTGCCCTTCAGCCTGGGAGAAAGTTAGCTCATGATCTGGGACTATGTGAAGCTGAAGGATGAGAATACAGTCTTAAATACTGTCGAGATGAGATGTAGTGAGGCGCTGCAGCAATCATATAGTTCAGATCATGGAGTGACTCTTCTTCAGGCTGTGGGAGGACTAATTCACCTCCTATCTCCAGGGTTGGATGGACTGATTGGATCATTTCATACTACTGTGCCTCTGTATTCGATGAAGAAGCCTACTGTGTAGGCGAAACCTTTCATCAGTAAAGATACCCAACTGTTGCTCACGTCTTAATCAACTCTCACTGCTACACACCTTGTATCTTCACTGTTATATTATTTATAGTGTTTAGCAATAAAGTGTTCAGTAAACAAAAACACAAATGGGAGTTGGTTAGCAGCTTAGGCCTTTCATACTGTTACAGGGCTTCATCTGGTGCTTGCATACGTTGATTGCAAGCCTCCTTGAACGAGGGCACTGCGGGTCATTGTGAAAGGCCTAGGACTGTTATCAAATCTTCCCTTCCTTCTTGTGTCTTGTTGAGTGTTGCAAGACTGGCACTTCTAAGTGTTGCCACTATTTTTTTGTTGGTCTGATCTGTCACACATTGCAAACAAGTGTTTGTGTTGCAAAAAAAATTGGGTTTTGCAAACAAATATGAGTTGCATACCACAGGTGGACTGTGCATACATAATGCAGACAGTCTACACTACGCTGTTGAAAGACATGCAAAGCTCCACTTCGGGGCGAATACATCGCCCCCGGAAGTCAGCTTATCCTAACATTGCCTTATAATCAGCACACAAATGACTTCCATTGGCATCATAAAAATTATGTTTATAGTTATAATTAATTTGTCACTAACTAAGGTTATATATGTATCATGCGACGTCGTGCCGAATAAGTAAACCTGGTCAATTAGCAAGAACTCGTTTAAAATTAAATCCTTTAAAAAAATTCTTATACGGTTAAAGATATATTTTTTCATTTATGTTAATGTAAAAATTAATTTTGTACCAAAAAGAACCATTGAAACTTAACTTTATTATTACATGTGCAATTTAATTTAGCCTAATGCAACTAAATATATTTTAGGTAAGGTTACAATAATTTAATAATAAACACAATGAAATATTTTTTTTTTCGTTAGGTTCAGAATGTTTTTTGCGAAATTATTGCATACATAAACTTTCGCTTTCCTTATTCGGCAAGAAGAGCATTGCTATTTAAACTGAAATTGCAAGTTTTACCTATTCTCTGTGACACACACAACACACACACACACACACACACACACACCACACACACACACACACTGATCAGGCTGCAGGACCTAGGTCCAGCATTTGGCTTCCTGGGAGTTCAACCCCACCAAGTGCTAAGTCATGAAGATTGGGGAAGGGCAAAGAAGACCACAGACATTACAGTTAAGGGGGCCAGAGGCTACAAACCTATCAAGGAAAAAAGATCTTGGGGTGAGTTTAACACAGACACATCTCCTGAAGCGCACATCAAACCAAATAAATGCTGTAGCATGTGGGGGCCTAGCAAACTTCTAGAGCAGCATTCCGACATCTTATAAGGAATCTTTCTGGACCCTGTACACGTCGTTGTACGGTTTAGGGCCCATATTGGAGTATGCGGCACCAGTTTGGATCCCCACACCTTGCCAAGCAAGTACAGAAACTAGAGCAAGGAAAGGTTTGTAACAAGCTAGTCCCAGAGCTAAGGGGTATGCCCTACGAGGAGAGGTTAAGGGAAATCGACCTGACGACACTGGAGGACGGGGAAGATAAGGGGGACATGATAAAACATACAAAATACTGAGAGGAATTGACAAGGGGACAAAACAGAATTTTTTCCAAAAATGGACCAGCAAAAAAGGGGGGACACATTTTGGAAGCTGAAACACAGTAATCACAAGGAGGAGGAAGTATTTCTTCAGTCAGAGATCAAAAGGGGAAATGTTTGGGGAAGCAATGTAGTGGAGGCGGGATCCACATAGCTTTAAGCGGGGAAGTGGCCTAGTAGCGACCGTGAAGGGGTGGGGCCAGGGCTAGGACTCTACCCTGCAACCTCAACTAGGTGAGTACAATAGGGATACACACAATATAAATTTACATACACCCTGGGGAAAGAAAAAGGGGAGCAGAGGAAGGGGGGGTTGCACTGCTCGATAAAACCGGGGAAATTTTGGGGAAATGGGAGGCATGGACAAGAGTGGAGAAAGGGGCTATTAGTATAAAACTTCAGTCGGGGAAAATAAGGTAGTCATTGCAGTGAGTTAATCCACCACAAAAACTGCGAGGTCAAAGAGGAATATGAAGAGAGCAACAGGGGCAAGGGTGGACACTGGCTGAAGGGGCAAGAAGAGCCACTCGAGCAGAGCAAATTTTACGGTTAGGGGAAATTTTCAACCACAGGGAATATTTGGGGAAAAACCGGGAGCCAATGGGGTCCCGAAACAGGAGACCCAAGATGATAGATATAGTTTTGGGAAAACCCCTGCATCATTGAAGGACACTACAAGAGAGGGAAGATGAACCGCAAGCGGGGACCTTGTGTTCACCCGAGCATTAGACATTGGGACATCACAACGAGACCCCTATTAACTAGTGATCACTGGTTGTGCTTTGAATACATATTTGATTACAAGTGGAGAGGGGAACAGGATTGAATGGGAAAAAAACAGACTAAAAAAGGGGGAACTAAAAAGGTTTAGGAACTTTCCCGCAGGAGGGTAGTGGGACAGAGAACTGGTAAGAAAGAAAATGAAATGATGGAATATGTAACAAGAAAATGCAAAGGGGGCAGAGGAAAGGTTTGTTCCCAAGGGCAAAAGAAAAAAGGGGAAAACCAGAATGAGCCCCTTTGGTTTTCCCGAAGGGGTAGGGAGGCAAAAACTAAGTGCACAGAGAAGAAAAAAGTACAGAAGGGAAAGAACACAGGAAAAATAAGGAGATTAGTTGAAGGCCAAAACGGGGGTATGCACAGGGAAGGGAAAGCCAGGACAGTATGGGAAAAAACAAAGAATCGAAAGTCGATTCTACCGAAACGTTGTCTTTCCCCCTGATGTGGCATACAAAGTCAAAGACCAGGTAATCGGCTGAGGAAAAAAGGGGGGGAGCTCACAAAACGACAAGAGATATTGAGGAGCTTAACGTGAGATTTAAAAGTATTTACAGTGGAGACAGGAAGGGGCCCCCTTTTGGGGGGGGGGCAGAACAAGGGGGGACACCGACAAGTGATGGATGACATACATACAATGACGAGGGGGAGGGGAAGAAGCTGTAAAGGACCTTATACCCAAAGGAAGGGACGGACAACATTCCCCCCTGGGTCCTTAAGAGGGAAACAGAAATGCTGTGTGGCCACTAACCCCCAACTTCAACCAAAATCCCTTGAAACTGGGCACCCACCTGAGAAAGGAAGATGACAATGTAGTTCCCATTTTTAAAAAAAGACAGAAAAGGGCCAAAAACCATAACCGTGTTGCTGAGTTTAATTATCAAAGTCCTGGGGAAAATTATCAGGAGGGAGGGTGGGGCACCGGAACGGAAGAAAGTTTAAATGCCAACCAGCCCGGATTTATGGGAAAGGGAAATCCTGTGTCACAGACCTGGAGATTTATGATAAAGTAACTTAAGACATGAGAGAGAGGGGTGGGTTGATTACATCTTCTTGGACTGCAAGAAGGCCTTCAACACAGTTCCTCACAAGAGATTAGTGCAGAAGCTAGAGGATCAGGCACATATAACAGGAAGGGCACTGCAATGGATCAGAGAATACCTGATAGGGAGGCAACGAGTCATGGTACGTGATGAGGTATCACGGTGGGCACCTGTGACGAGCAGGGTCCCACAGGGGTCGGTCCTAAGACTAGTACTATTTTTGGTATATGTGAATGACATGATGGAAAGGTTAAACTCGGAAGTGTCCCTGTTTGCAGATGATGTGAAGTTAATGAGGAGAATTAAATCAGATGAGGACCAGGCAGGACTTCTAAAGAGACCTGAACAGGCTGGACACCTGGTCCAGCAACTGGCTTCTCGAATTTAACCCCGCCAAATGCAAAGTCATGAAGATCAGGGAAGGGCAAAGAAGATCGCAGACGGAGTATAGGCTAGGTGGCCAAAGACTGCAAAGCTCGCTCAAGGAGAAAGATCTTGGGGTGAGCATAACACCGAGCATTTCTCCGGAACACACATCAACCAGATAACTGCTGTAGCACATGAGCGCCTGGCAAACCTAAGAACAGCGTTCCAATACCTTAGTAAGGAATCATTCAAGACACTGTACACCGTGTATGTCAGGCCCATACTGGAGTATGCAGCACCTGTTTGGAATCCACATTTGATCAAGCACATCAAGAAATTAGAGAAAGTGCAAAAGTTTGTGACAAGGTTAATTCCAGATCTAAGGGATTGTCCTATGAAGAAAGGTTAAGGGAAATTAGCCTGACGACACTGGAGGACAGGAGGGTTAGGGGAGACATGATAACGACATACAAAATACTGCATGGAATAGACAAGGTGGACAGAGACAGGATGTTCCAGAGAGGGGACACAGAAACAAGAGGTCACAATTGGAAGTTGAAGACCCAGATGAGTCAGAGGGATGTTAGGAAGTATTTCTTCAGTCATAGAGTAGTCAGGAAGTGGAATAGCCTAGCAAGTGAAGTAGTGGAACAGGAACCATACATAGTTTTAAGATGAGGTATGATAAAGCTCATGGAGCAGGGAGAGAGAGGACCTAGTAGCACTCAGGGAAGAGGCAGGGCCAGGAGCCGAGTCTTGACCCCTGCAACCACAATTAGGTGAGTTTACACACACACACACACACACTCTGTAGAAATCATGAACAAGTAATACAAGATGCAAAATAACCACGAGGGGAGTTGAATGATAGCTTTAGGTCTTTTGTGTTGCAGTCAACACATCAGGAACTTGCAATGTTGCAGAAAAGAGGAAAAAGTCCAAGCAAATATGATCATATTTGCTTAGACCACCACCACTCTTCTGCAACATTGCATGCTCCTGATGTGTTGATTGCAACACAAAAGGCCTGGAAAAACCATTCAATGCTGTCAGTGCTCATTAATAACCCACATGGAGACAGAAACGCAAGATTGATGGATCTGTATATTTCAATCCCTTTCTAGGATCCTCTTCATCTACTGAAGAGGACCCCAGAAGGGCTTTTATATACACACAGATTAAAGTCTTTTGAGTTTCTCCATGTTTATTATTGGGTATTTCCAATAACTGACCTACTTTCTGTCGTGTTTCAGATTTTAGAGGACATTGATAAATGGGGCATTGACATCTACAGGATATCTGAACTGTCTAATAGGAAGCCTCTCACTGCTATAACATACACAATTTTCATGGTAAGTGCCTCGTATACTTCATTGGGAAGACGTTTCGCCCACCAGGGGAGTGAGGCGTTGAGATGAAAGACATGATCTGTATTGTCTTGTTTACTTACTGCAAGTTTATTCTAAGTAGTGACTCTATACCAAGTTCTTAATATATTAATGTTCTTAAATAACTTCTAAGTTATGACTCAGTATACTAAGTTCTTAATACATCAGTAAAAGTGACAACATTTGCTTTAACAAGGTTTGGCTCTAGCTCTTTATTTACCTATAAGAATCAGTCATAAAGTTATAGAGACCTTCACTGTTTTACATTATTAAAGTGCCTAATATTTCCACCTTGTACAATACAATTTACATTCTTTAATAAACCTGTATGTCAGTTTTAGGAGAGTTTATCATATTTATTGACATCAAAAATTCCCATTGACTCATTGGGTTATCCTGATAATTTGTTTCTCTGAATAAATAGATTGGGCAAGGACTCGAACCGTGGCCTTGGTATGCAGCAACTCCAAGTTGAACATACCATTACTGTGATTCCAGTCACCATCCATTCTTTTGTTTGACAGTCATTCATTACTACTGTACAGCAAACTTGCACAGATCTAAACTTGTGTATCGAACCTGGTTAACCTTTTTTCCTCTCTGAACAGGAACGTGACCTGTTGAAGACATTCAAAATTCCGCCCAAAACATTTGTAGCATTTATGATGACACTGGAGGACCATTATTTGAAGGATGTGCCCTATCACAACTCTCTGCACGCTGCTGATGTCACACAGTCCACACACGTCCTCCTTAACTCTCCAGCACTTGAGGTCAGTACTAGTACCCTAGTTCTTGATGTTAGTACTAATACCCTTGTTCTTTGTTAGGAAACCTTACTGACACCTTTCCCTCATACACATGTCAATAAAAGACATGTGCCCTCATTGTTTCATAAAATTGTCTTGTGCGTTTTATTTAAGAAAATTTTTTGCCTCCATGTACTATCATTATTTCTAATAAATTTTATTCCCGTGGGCCCCCGCAAAACGATGGCATCGCATACGTTTTTTCCGCATAACGTTACTTTTTCGCAAAATTTTTTCCGCGCATACCGATTAAAAAACCCGCATACCGATTTTTCGTCCGGACGCGTCCAATGTGCCCTCACCAGCCCAAATGTGCGCTCCTCCCATTGTTTACCACCAGCCTCCGCGGAAATCCAAGCTACCTCGGGAAAATTTCGTATTATTACAGTTTTTTTCGTGCTTTTTTCTGGAAAAAAGTGACCATGGGCCCCCAAAAAAGCTTCTGTCCAACCCTGTGTAAAAGGGTGAGAATTAAATATGGAAAAAAAGAAAGATTTTGAAGGTTTGGGGCTAACCCTGAGAAGCCTATGCCATTTGGAATCCATTGGCCTACTTCAAAGATTAAGGGAAAAGGTGCAGAGTGGGTTGAACTGAAAACCATT